GAAACCATATGAGTGTTCAGTGTGTGGGAAATGTTTCAGTAAGAATTCCAACCTGGTGATACATCAGAGGACTCACGCAGGAGGAAAACCATATCAGTGTCCAGATTGTGGGAAAAGTTTCAGTCACAATTCTGACTTTGTGAAACACCAGATGAGTCACATGGGACAGAAACTGTATCAGTGTCCAGAGTGTGGGAAAAGATTCACTCGGAATTCCAAGCTGGTAATACACCAGAGGACTCACACAGGAGAAAAACCGTATCAGTGTCCAGTTTGTGGGAAAAGTTTCAATCAGAATGCCCATCTGGTGATACACTAGAGGACTCACACAGGGGAGAAACCCTATAAGTGTACGGATTGTGATAAAAGTTTCCAGCAGAATTCCAACCTGGTGGTACACCAGAAGACTCACACGAGACAGAAACCGTATGAGTGTCTAGACTGTGGGAAAGGTTTTAATCGAAATTCCAACCTGGTGATACACCAGAGGATTCACACAGGAGAGAAACCATATGAGTGTCCAGATTGTCAGAAAAGTTTCAGTCTTAATTCTGCCCTAGTGACACACATGAGGACTCACACAGGAGAGAAACCCTATGAGTGTCCATATTGTGGGAAGAGTTTCAGTCAGAATTCTACCCTAATAATGCACCAGAGGACTCACACAGGAGAAAAACCATATGAGTGTCCAGTTTGTGGGAAAAGTTTCAGTTATAATTCCAGCCTTGTGCAACACCAGAGGTCTCACACGGGGGAGAAACCATATGAATGTCCAGTTTGTCGGAAAAGTTTCAGTCATAACTGTAACCTTGTGAAACACCAAAGGACTCACACAGGAGAGAAACCCCATGAGTGTCCAGATTGTGGGAAAGCTTTCAGTTGGAATTCTGACCTGGTGAGACACCAGAGGATTCACATAGGATGAGTGCCCAAATTGTGGGGAACGTTTCAGTTGGAATTCCCACCTGGTGGAATAATAGGGAACTGACACAGAATAGGAGCCCTTTGAATCAGTAGATCTAATAATAATCTAATAAATCATGTCAGTTTACACACCTATTAGAAGCCATTCAGATGCCTAAACTGTGGTCAATGTTTCAGTCACAACTCTACTATTGTTAAAGACAAGAGGACTCATACAGGAGAAAAGCCATCAGCTTTCTGATTGGAAGGAAATTTGATGGGATCTTAGAAAACTTTCAAGAATTCACAAGGATATACATTGCTTGTTTTCAGCTTGCTGGGTTATTTTCAGCCAAAGAGCCAAATTTATTTAGACATGAGAGACTCAACCAGAAGAAATGCTCAGACATAAGAGGATTTGCTTGCAAAAATCAATGAATCAGTAAATGAGAATTAGGATTTTAACAAGGGTTTTCTGAAAGCATAGTAAGAAGTTAAATATAACTCTGTATAATAAGAATATTCCTAAAGCATCAAAACCATTCTTATTGTATCCAATTCAATATTGTACAGAAAGACAGGAGTCCATGGGGGCATTTGTTAGAATGTAGTATTGCAAAGGCAGTAACCATTCCAAGATACTGGTAGTCCTTAACTTACAACCATTCATCTAGTGACATTCAAAGTTACGACATCACTGAAATAAGTGACATGACCCTTTTTCATACTTGGGACCACAGCAGCATCAACATTCAGATGCTTGCCAACTGATGGTTTCAATGTCCTGGGGTCATGGGATCCCCTTTTGTGACCTTCTGACAAGCCAAATTAACAGGGAAGTCAGATTCACTTAACAACTGTGTTACTAATTTAACAACTAATTTAACAATGTGGCAAGAATGGTTGTAAAATGGAGCAAAACTCACTTAACAACTGTCTTACTTAGTAACATAAATTTTGGGCTCAATTGTAAGTTGAGGAATACCTGTAATAAGAATAGTTGCCTCGCCCCTTCCAGGATACTAACATTCTTCAGTAATGTTTCTAAAGATACATTATTTCATGAGAGCCATTAATTTTGTCATGATAGGCTTTAATTGCCCCTTAGCCTGAACTGTTTGCTGTAGTTAATTCATAAACTTAATGACTTGGGACAGTGAGATAGGTGACATACAAATTTAATAAGTAAATAAATGTGAATATACTTATGTGAGAAAAATCACAAAACACATTTAGAGACAGTGAATAATATGAAAGAGCTCTATTATTAAGCTTTTGCAAAAGGGAATTCTGCTCATAGCAGAAGACATGTTTCCCAGGAAGGCTGGGGTTTTATATACAAGTTCAAATATACAGCCTCTGCCCCTTTCCTGTATTCACAATCTATCCAATTACGTAATTCCCTATGCCACACCCATTGCATACCACCTGTTTCCCTTTCTTTGGAAACCACCCTTGTTCTCATGGCATCTTCCTGTTATGTTCTTGTGAACACAGTGGATCATTAACTATTCTGTTCAGGTCAGAATGACCCTAGCATCTCTTACATTAATTTTCAAGCCAAAATACAAACCCCCATGTTCCAGCCCAAAACCTGACATTTACTTTAGAACATAACACATTACAAAACAGTACATATTTGTTATATAACCAGTCATCATTGTAAAAAGGTCACATTACGAACAAAAATGGAGTCTCTTTGGTTCTATACTTTCTTAAGTGTAACAGGAAAATACATATGTTATTTCCATATATAACAATTTAGGATGCAGATAGACAGGTGCACATTAAGTATTCTTTGGTTGTTTGAAAAATAATAAATTTTAATGCCTTCATTTCATGTAAAATATAAATAATATACAGATGTGGATGCTTTTTAATTACTGTTGTTTTAAATATTTCTAGAAATTTCTTCAAAGAAAAGTCTAACGTTTGTTGACTGTTCCACTACAGTATAATTTTTGTTCTCCAGGGTTTTCTCACCTGCAGGTGAAATATTTCAATTGATTTCTTTTGCACTTGCTCGTCTTTTGTCAACCTTTTGTCAAAAGAGAGAGAAAGGTAAATCCTACTTGCTCATTATGGACCTGCAGTTGAGAATTGAACCTTCCTAGTGTAAGTCAAATAGTGTGCTTATGGATTCACATCATCCTGGTTCTCGGTTTTGTATAATGTACCTTCTTGAAGAGATGGAAGTAAAATATATCTATTTGGCTTTCCAAAGTGAAAATGGGTTTTCCTGTGAAATACAAAAAAAAGATAAAAGAATTCCAGGTGAGTGGTGCTGTGGCCTACAGGTGGAGCTCTCGCCTCACAATCAGGAGGCCTTGAATTCGATCCTATAGAGGCTGATATTTCTCTCTGGGCACAATGAAAATATATATGCTGCAAACTCCGCATTGGTGACAGGAAGGGCATCTGGCAAGTAAACACTCAGCTGCATTCAGTTGCCCTGACTCCACCCTGCAAGGGATACATTACGCACAGGAGTGGGCTTCAAAAAATTTAACACCCGGTTCTCTGCCCGTTTGCTGGGTGGGCATGATCATGATGGCTGTGGCCTAGTCAGCCTCCCGCACTATGGCAGGAGGGAGTTTTTGCCCTCCCTGGGCTCCAGAGGCTTTCCTTGAGCCTCCAGGAGGGCAAAAATGACCTCCCCGGGCTCCAGAGGCTGGAAACAGGCCCTTTTCTGGCCTTCTGGAACTTCCAGGAGGCCTGTTTTTCACCCTCACCGAGCCTCCACATGGGCCCTGCACTTACCTGTGATCCAAAACTCGACGTGTGGGGATTCCTTGACGCGTGGGCAAGGCCAGTTGGGATGGGATTTGCCAGTTCGGCAAACTGGCCATAAAATTGACAACCGGTTTTCCTAAACGGTGGGAACTGGTAGCAGCTCACCTCTGATTACAGGGTCATTAAACAACAAAGAAGATAAAAGAATTCCATGTCAATGGACAGATTTGGGAGCTCTAATAACTGCAAACCCTGCATTTTGGGGAACAGAGACTGGAATCTGCCCAATAGTCGGGTTGGTTGGTGTGAGGGAATTATGCAGCTGGTGTCCAAATTAAGACAGAGACACTGACTGTAGTTTTATAAAAATCTATTTATTATCTTATATTTAGAGCAAATAAGTTAGGCACATCACTACATCCTGAGGTAAATCTCAGAACAGCATACAGAGCACACAGAAGAAAAAGGCGGGAAAATGGGGAACGCCCCCTTTACACCCAGCAACCAATCATAAAGTAGATTGCCTCATGCAGGAAGCCGCACTCTCCAACCAATCAATGACCACTGTGTGTTCTGGTCCACTGTGCACTTTACTGTTCCAGATTTTAAATTAAATAGTTGAACAGTTGGCCTGTAAACAGGTTTGAACTGTTGGAATAAAATGCCGCATAGAGTATTTCAGTTTAGAAATCTATCTAGCCAATCTTTCTTCTGGTTATTTCATTTCAACATCTCCCCTCAGGGCATTGCATGCCAAAAAAACTAAACGCAAAGATAGTTTCTTCCCCTGTGCCATCACTCTGCTAAACACTCAACTCCCACACCACTGTCTTCTGCCCAAAGATATTTATCCATGTGGTATTGCTGTATTGCTATTATCCTTGTCATCTTATCCTTCTCATCTTTCCTACTACCTTCAGGATATTATCTGATCAATTATTGTTGTATCTTATTGATTAATCATTGTTTTATGATGTATGATCTATGACTATCACTTTTTATGTATATTGAAAGTGTATGCACCAGAGACCATTTCCTTGTGTGTCCAAAGCACACGGCCAATAAAGAATTGTTCTATTCTTTCCAATTTTTGATTTTTTTTTTCCAAATTCCATGTCTGACTACAAGCACTGAATTGTTCTGAGTCTCTCTGCCTCCATTTTTACACCTTTCATTTTTCATAAAGATTCGTCAAATAGCTTGCTGAAATCCAAGTATACTATCTGCACAGCATTTTGCTGATGTAATTTAATTGCTTAAATAAAAAAGGCAAGGTTTGCTTGGCAAGATCTCTTTCTAACAAACCTATGCTGTCTTCTAGTAAATCAGCTTGCTTGTTTATAGGTTCTCACAAATTCTCTGCTTCATTATATTTTTCAGGATTTTACCAGATATTGATGTCAAGCTGATTAGCCTATAATTTCCTGGATCATTCCCCCCTCCCTCTTTTGTAGTTTGGAATCACATCAGTTATTTCTCCTGTGTTACATAAGCTTTCAAAGATTAC